GAGCCCACCAGGCGAGGCTGCGGTGGCCGGGAGCGGCCACTGCACTCCAGTCTGGGTGACCGAGTGAGACTCCAACTCAAAAAAATAAATAAATAAAAAAATAAAAGGGGCAACTAAATTTTCAAATGTAGACTGTGAGAGAGTGAAACAGGGTTCAGGGATGACCCCTGGTTTTTGTTTTAGTAGATACAGGAATATGAGCTCCATCAATTGAGTTGGAGAAGCTGGAATTAAGAATAATAGTCAAGCCGGGCTCGGTGGCTCAGCCTGTAATCCCAGCACTTTGGGAGGCTGTGGTGAGAGGATTGCCCGAGCCCGTGGGTTCGAGACCCGCCTGGGCAACTTGGCAAGACCTCATCTCTACAATAAATCAAAAAATTAGCCGGGCGTGGTAGCACACGCCTGTAGTTCCAGCTACTTGGAAGGCTGAGGGCGGAAGGATCGCTGGAGCCCAGCAGGTCGAGGCTGCTGTGGCCGGGAGCGGCCACTGCACTCCAGTCTGGGTGACAGAGTGAGACTTGACAGAGTGAGACTCCAACTCAAAAAAAAAAAAAAAAAAAAAGAATAATAGTCATTGGAGACATCAAGAACTCAATTTATTCCTGTTAAAAGTTTGAGATGTTTCAGAGATCACTACGTGGCGGCATTAAGTAGGCAACCAAATACACAGGTCTGGAAATCTGGGGAGTGGCCCAGGATGGAAACATCTGAAATGTGGTTTTTGTGAGGGAGCTGTGGATCATGCTTATAGGAGTTAATCTTCAGCTTAGGGTAGTACAGCTTTAGGGGGCCAGGAAGGGGATAGTGGGGGCCAAAGACTGGCCCTGTTGTTGGACAGCTGAACTGGGTGATGGTATTGGGCTTTACAACACAGATAAGGGAGGTTAGTGGCCATGGATGTAGGGTGTTTCGGACAGGATAGTTTGCCAGGTGGCATGAACTTTCAGGGGAGGAGTGGACATGGGATGGATGCAGAGGCATAAGTGTATTTGAGGCAAGATAGCTGTCCTTTCTTTCCTTAATGTTTGTTTCACCACTGTGAAATCACCAGGATTTTGTGATGGCTTTAATGGGGCCTGGGGTGTTTCATTCAGCCTGGAGGATAAGGCCAGGAGTAAATATGGTCATTTTTGAGAGTTACTTGGCCTGGGATAGATGACCAATGGGTCTAGTTTTTGAATGTTAGGTGGAAAAAGAAAGGTTGTGACTACTGAGGGGATAGCAAATGCAGCACAGAAGTGGAATAGGCCCAGAGGTATTTGTGTGGTTTTGTACATATAGTTTTGTGTGGCTAAGTCTGAGGTGAAGAATGGAGTCAGCCAGGGAGCCTTCATAGGATTTGAGGCTGCCATCACTTGTGGGAGTCTTGGAAGGTCTAGGGTAATATTAGATGTATTTGAATATGTCAAGCACACTCTGGATGCTCTGTGCTAAATTATGATGTGAAGTCTAAAATTTTGGCCCAGTATTATGTGCTGTCATGACATCTGAGTCATGTGTAAGGGGAGGGGCAGGGAAATGCCTGTGGTGTGGAGAAGTGAGGTAGTGGTGGCCCTGGGCTTGTGGGTGTGGTATCTGGAGACAGGAGGGATGTGTATTTTAAAGAATGATGTGCACTTGGAGGGGGAGTAGCTCTGATGGCTACAGCTCCCTGGTATTAAGACTTACATGACCTTGGGCATTCCAGGGGGATTTAATGACTGGATTGGGAAGATCCTTCTTTTTTTTTTTTTTAGTTGGAGCCTCACTCTCATCCAGGTTGGAGTGCAGTGGCATGCTCACGGCCACGAAGCCTCGACCTGCTGGGCTCAGGTGATCCTTCCACCTTAGCCTTCCAAGTAGCTGGAACTACAGGCATGCGCCACCATGCCTGGATAATTTTTGATTTATTGTAGAGATGAGGTCTCTCCAAGTTGCCCAGACTGGTCTCAAAACTGTGGGCTTAGGCAGTCCTGTCACCTTGGCCTCCCAGAGTGCTGGGATTATAGACGTGAACCACCGCTTGGGAATATCCTTCTATGCCAGGCTCTTAGCTTGGATATTTATTTATCCACATGTCAGTTGCTGCTGATGGCTATACTCTGTGATCAGTGAGCCCTCAGTGGAATAATAGCAAACGGGCTGATTTTTCCACTGGAATAGGATGGGCATGGGGTAAATGCATGAGATTGTGGGTCCTTGAAAAAAGGGCTGTTGTGGTTTCATCTGTTTCCATTGTGGCAGGGCACTGTGACTTTTGAAGATGTGGCCGTGTACTTCTCCTGGGAGGAATGGGGTCTCCTTGATGAGACTCAAAGATGCCTGTACCGTGATGTGATGCTGGAGAACTTGGCTCTTATAACCTTCCTGGGTAAGGTTTTTTACACCCATCCCTATGCCCTGAGCTAGTCTGTACCCTTCCCCTGTTCCATGAGGATGACAGAACCATAGACTGTGCTGCTTTCTCACTTCCCTGCATACTGTAGTGCTTGCTGAGACTGAGACATATGCACTGCCCTCACCTCTTCTTAAGCAGCCCAACACCTGTTTTGCCACAGCCTCACAGAGAAGGATTCAGGGTCAGAAGTCTTGTAGTCACCCTACTGCATTCCACCTTGCTTGTCCTCTGCATGACTGGGTGACTTTGTTCAGAGCCGAGGCTCCTGTGTGCCCCATGTTCTACTTCCTTCCTGTATCTGGCATTTTCTTATGCCTTCCTGTGCTGGGAATTGTCACTGACTTGGTTACTACTTAAAATGGACCATGGACTATTCTTACAAGACATTCCTTTGAAATTCTCTTTGTGGTGGGCGCAGTGGCTCACGCCTATAATCCCAGCACTTTAGGAGGCCAAGGTGAGAGGATTGATTGAGCCCACAGGTTCGAGACAAGCCTGGGCAACTTGGTGAGACTTCATCTCTACAATAAATTAAAAAAAAAAAGTTAGCTGGGCATGGTGGCGCATGCCTGTGGTTCCAGCTGCTTGGAAGACTGAGACTGAAGGATCACCTAAGCCTAGCAGGTCGAGGCTGTGGTGGCTGTGAGCGTGCCGCTGCACTCCAGCCTGGGGGACAGGGTGAGAACTCCAACTCAAAAAAAAAAAATAAATAAATAAAAAAGGGAAATTTTCTTTGTAATATTTGTGTGTGTGTTGTTTTTTTTTCTGTGAGCTATCATGTGCTGAGTTTTTTTTTGTTGGACAGTTCTGCCTGCTCTGTCCTTTCTTTCTTAAGTACTTGCATTTTCCAGGGGCCACGTATTTGTTTATTTTGAGAGTGAAGTAGAGAACCTTCGGTGATTCACAGGATGGCTGTGGATCCAGCCATAGCAAGATGAACTCACAAGGAATCTGACCCTGAAGAGTGGCACTTGGATGAGGGCATGATGTAAGGACTGGGTTTAAACCATAGCAATAACCTGTTCTGTTTGATGAGCATTTTGGTGATATTGCCAGTGGCCATAGCTCAATTCTGGTTTTCCTTCACCATTCTTGACATTTTGCCGACTTGTCAACTCTACTGCTTGTCACCTTTACTTTTACATCCAGCCTGGGGTAATCCTCTCATTTTTGGACTCCACATCTTTTTTCTCACTGCTCCATCTGAAGTGCTCTCCAGCATTGGCCTCTACATATTGTGTCATGAGGTGTGCATATATTTTTTTAAGTTTTTTTTTTTTTTTTTTTTTTAGTAAAAGTCTTACTCTGTTGCCTAGGCTGGAGTGCAGTGGCACATTCATGGCCACCACAACCTTGACCTGCTGGGCTCAGGTGGTCCTTCCACCTCAGCCTTCCAAGTAGCTGGAACCACATCTGGCTAACTTTTTGCACACCTCATCTGGCTAACTTTTAATTTATTGTAGAGATGGGATCTTGCCAAGTTGCCCAGACTGGTCTTAAACCCCTGGACTCATGAAATCCTTTCACCTCTGTCTCCCAAAGTGCTGGGATTATAGGCGTGAGCTACCATTCCTAGCATTTTTAAAAAGTTTTAAAACAGAGTTTATTAGTGAGATGAAGAGGAAAAAAAAGAAGATCCATGGCAGAAAGACCTGCCATGGGCAAATTTCTCAAAAAAGAAAAACCACTGGTGTGCATATATTCTTAAACAGGTCTTGAAGGCCAGCTTCTCTGTTACATTTCCTTCAACCTTTATATACTGTTCTACTTAGCACTCATGTCACCAGCTGACAAGTTTCTGCTAAAGCTGTTTGCAGAGGATTTAGTTTTAGACCCTGCCTCTGCTCTCTTTGTCACAACTCATGGTTGTGGTCTTTACTGCATGAGCTCCCTCCAACCCCCATTCTGTGATCATTGTAGCCTGGTATTGCTAAGCAGCTTTATTCACAACTTGAATCCAAATTCCTTGCTATACAAACAATCCCACGGACTTCTTCCTGGTTTGTCATACCCACACTTGTATAGAGGCTGCCCCTCACACCCCCAAGTCAACGTGTTACTTTGCCAGCATTTTTGATTTTAGGTTGTTGGTATGGAGTGGTGGAAGAGGGTGTGTAAGATATGTGGCCTGGTCTTTTTTTTTTTTTGAGTTGGAGTCTCACTCTGTCACCCAGACTGGAGTGCAGTGGTCGCTCCCGGCCACTACAGCCTCGACCTGCTGGGCTCTGGCGATCCTTCCTCCTCAGCCTTCCAAGTAGCTGGAACTACAGGCACGCACTATCATTCCTGGCTAATTTTTGATTTATTGTAGAGATGAGGTCTCGCCAAGTAGCCCAGGCGGGTCTTGAACCCGTGGGCTAAAGCAATTCACTCACCTCCGCTTCCCAAAGCTCTGGGATTACAGGCTGAACCACCAAGCCCAGCGTGGCCTGGTCTTGAGAGACATTTTGCATTTTGCTGAGCCCCTGGGAACATATCGTGGGTAGAAACCGTTCAGGTATGGGGCATGTGGGAAACAATTACATTTCATTGCAGATGTTCATCAGCACCCCAAGCAGCACTTTGGAGAGAAACGCTTCAGAAACAATGTGAATAGAGGTTTGTTTGTGAAGAGCTGCAAATTCTACGTGTCAGAGGAGCCCTTTACCTGCGGGGAAGTTGGGAAGGACTTCCTGGCCAAGTTGGGATTCCTCCATCAACAGACCACTCTCACTGGGGAGCATTCAAATAGCAGAAGTGATTGTGGGGCCATTAGTAACAGTGGAAAAACTGATTACAACTGTGGAGAATACACAAAAGCGTTCAACCATAAATACACACTTGTTCAGCAGCAGAGAGCCCTCACTACTGAAAGATGTTACATATGCAGTGAATGTGGGAAAACTTTTAGTAAAAGCTACAGCCTCAATGACCACTGGAGAGTTCACACTGGAGAAAAGCCTTATGAATGTGGGGAATGTGGAAAATCCTTTAGGCAAAGCTCTAGCCTCATTCAGCACCGGAGAGTTCATACTGGAGTACGACCTCATGAATGTGATGAATGTGGAAAATTATTTAGCAATAAGTCGAACCTCATTAAACATCGGAGAGTTCACACTGGAGAAAGGCCATATGAGTGCAGCGAATGTGGGAAATCCTTTAGTGAAAGCTCTGCGCTCCTTCAGCACCAGAGTGTTCACACTGGAGAAAGGCCTTATGAGTGCAGTGAATGTGGGAAATTCTTTACATATCATTCCAGTCTCATAAAGCACCAGAAAGTTCATAGTGGATCAAGGCCTTATGAGTGCAGTGAATGTGGGAAGTCATTTAGCCAAAACTCTAGCCTCATTGAACACCGTAGAGTTCATACGGGGGAAAGGCCTTATAAGTGCAGTGAATGTGGGAAGTCCTTTAGCCAAAGCTCTGCACTTCTTCAGCATCGGAGAGTTCACACTGGAGAAAGGCCTTATGAGTGCAGTGAGTGTGGGAAATTCTTTACCTACAGCTCTAGTCTCCAAAAACACCAGAGAGTTCATACTGGATCAAGGCCTTATGAGTGTAGTGAATGTGGAAAATCCTTTACTCAAAACTCCAGCCTCATTAAGCACAGGAGGGTTCACACTGGGGAGAGGCCTTATGAGTGCACTGACTGTGGGAAATCTTTTGGCCATAACTCTAGCCTCATTAAACACCGGCGAATTCATAGTCGATAAAAATCTTAGAAGTGGCAAATGTGGAAAAACCATTAACACCCTGGAGAAAGTCCTCATGAGCTTAGTGAGTGTGAGAAAACCTTCAGCTGAAGACCTTATCTCATAAGTACTATAAAGTTCACATGGGAAAAACAGTTTTGCTATGCAGGGATGTACTGTTTCCTTGTTCATTTTAACAACTCTCAAGGAGATCCCTTATGAGGGTGCCATCCGCCTGAATGGAACCTCATATGTCTGAACATCTGCATAAATTCCAGGTATGTGGGAGCTACATTGCACTTTTTATCTTGCCCAGAGATGTTGCCAGGTTTATGTCATTGCTAATTCTGTCGCAAAAGCCATTTTTACCTGGCAGGTGCCTACAGTGTGCACCATTCACCCACTTCATTGTATTCAGGTAAGTGAACCTTGGTGTTCTCCCTTTCATGGGAGAAATTACTAAGTAACTGAGCATTTATTCTTTTCTCATTTTTTTCTCCCTGAGAAGTTAAGCCATGGACCTGACCTAGTTTTGCCCAGACGACTCTGCTGTTGATTTGGAAAGATGGACTACATATTTCAGGATATTGTTGGTCTCAACTCTTTAGGTGGAATTTTTCAGCTTCCAGATTACCAACTATGGGAACCCCCTCCTCCCATTGCCCTGGTTTGTATGATAATAAAGGCCTATTGTTTAAGCCACCATTAATGTTGGGAGTTCTATTCACTATATGGGGTAACTGGGTTCTGCTAACTTGAGTGAATAGCTTTTGTTGGGATCCCAAACTTGTTGTGTCTCCATAGGGACAGTGGGATGGCAGAATATAGCTCTCTTTCTCATTAGAGCATAGTTTGCGTTTGTTTTCAAGGCTTCCAAGGAAAAACTGCAGGGTGCTGTCCTAATTTGTATCCTGGATGCTACGGGTGTGGTACTTCTGAAAGCAACATGGAATTATTCTCTCATTCAGAGGGGATATTGCATTGTGCTTGGCACTGGTGGGGAAAATCAATTTCCCTGATCTGCAAAGGATTCATATGCCTTGACGTCCTGAATTCCATAGGGTAGCATCACAGGTTGTAAGATTATAGAGGGAATGATAATTGTTACAGAAATGCTGGAGTGATATGGAGTGGAAGAGATGGCAGTTAACTGGTTGGAATGTGCTTCTCTTCCAAAGTCATTCATGATGTTCCAGTTATTATGGCTATGAAGGATGTGCAGGTACAGGCATTCGCAGGACCTCTGGATCTGTTTATCTTGTGTAGCTGAGGTCATTGTCAGAAAAGATAATCTTAAGCTTTTGTAGATCCCTGTAGCCTCTGGGCTGTTCACCTCAAAGCCATTGCTATGCAGGCAATTAAAATGGCGAGAGAAGGGAGATCTTAGTCCATTGATAGGGCCCTTGTGATCCAGCCAGCATTTCTCTTGAATCGGGTGGAAATGACCTTCACTGCTCATCTATATTTGCTACCACTGAGACGAAGTATCCCAGGGTATGAGGAGAGAGATGGTGGAAACAACATAGGGTTGTCAAACCTGACTTTCCAAAAATAGGAAGTTCAGACTTTTTTGGACCATATTTTTAATAAAGTATAGATGGTACATATTTAAGCTATACAATTTGCTAAGCCTTGACATTCGTATAAGTCTGTGAAACCGTATTCACAGTCATGGTAATGAACCTGCCCATCAATCCTGAAGTTACTTCATGCACTTAATAATTCTCTGCCCTCCAGGCAACCATTGATTACTTTTCCTTCAGAATTGATTTGTTTTCAATTTATCTTTTATTTTAAAGATGTGGAGTACAATTCAGTGTTAAGTATACAAGTGTTCGTTATGCAGGTACCATTGTTGATGTATGCTCCCCACTTCCCCCAGCAGAATCCCACTACTGCCAATTCTGCCCCTGCCCCCCGGCAGTTTCCCACTACTGACAATCCTTTTCTTACAGTATTACGATAATTGTTCAAAGTCCACTTATGAGTGAGAACATGTGATACTCAGTTCTTTGTTTCTGTGATAGATTACTCAGTATTATAGACTCTTGTTTTCAATTTCTAGAATTTTATATGACTGAAATTATAATGTGTTTATTTTTTTCTCCCCCATGCATTCATGTAGCATATTTATTTTGAGATTCATCAGTAGTGCTTGTATGAGTAATTTCTTTTTGTATTGCTGAGAACTATGATGTTCTGTGGACATACTGCCATGTTTATTCATTGATCTATTTATAAATACTTTAAGTTATTTACAGTTTTATTGTAAATAAAATTGCTACAGACATTTGAGTATGATTTTTCACATGGATATGTTTTATTTCTCCTAGTACCTCATGGTGCAGTGCCTAAGTCATAGAGTAGATGAATGGATAACTTTTCAATAAATATCAAGTTCCGATCTAAAATGGTTGTTCTCTTTGGGTTACTACCAGCCCTGTATGAGAGTTCCAATTCTTCCATATCCTTGCAAAGAGTGGATATGGTTAGCTTTAATTTTGACTCATGTAATAAATGTGTAGCCATATCTCACTGTCAGATGCATTTCCCTAATTTTTTACTTTGTAGAGAATTTTTATTTTGCCACCTGTATATTTTTGGTAAAATGTCTTTTGATGTCTTTTGCTTTTTTTTTTTTTAAGTCAGAGTTTCACTCCTTGCTCAGGCTGGTGTGATTCACAACCATTGTACCCTCAATCTGCTGGGCCTAGGTGATCCTCCTGCCTCAAGTTGCTAGAACTACACACGTGTACCACTACATCTGGCTAATTTTTTTATTTATTGTAGAGACGAAGTCTCGCCGACTTGCCCAGTCTGGTCTCAAACCTCTGGGCTCAAGCAATCCTCTCACCTTGGCCCCCTAGCTAGGATTGCAGGTGTGAGTCAGCCACTGCACCCAGATTCTTTTGCATACTTTTACAAAAACATTTTGGCTGTTTATTTTTTTTATTTTTTATTTTTTGAGTTGGAGTCTCACTCTGTCACCCAGACTAGAGTACAGTGGCACACTTCTGGCCACTGCAGCCTCAACCTGCTGGGCTCCGGGGATCAGTCCGCCTCAGCCTTACAAGTAGCTGGAACTACAGGCACATGCTACCACACCTGGCTAATTTTTTGATTTATTGTAGATGAGGTCTTGCCAAGTTGCCCAGGCAGGTCTTGAACCCGTGGGCTCAGGCAATCCTCTTACCATGGCCTCCTAAAGCACGGGATTACAGGCTGAGCCACTGAGCCCGGCCTATCTTTGTTTTTTTAAATTCAAAATGTCTTTATTGGGATGGTTTTCCATTCATCTTGATTGGGGTGCTTTTAGTGCTGCTTCCTCCTGAGGGATCATCCTTCTGTGAGCCTTGCTTTTCCTCCTGTAGGCTGACAGAGGATAGTGGAGCAGCCAACACACAAAACTACTGTTTGTGCATGGCTGAAGATCGTGGTGATCTTATAGCATCCTGGGCATTTCACATCCAAGAAGTAGGAGTTGGAGCTCTGCAATAGATACTTGTGTTTCCTCTTCTCCTCTTCCGGAAAGGGATGAAGGACATCCTTTGTGAGAGACATGTTCTCATGGGTAGGTGTCCACCACCAGAAAGCCTATTTATCTTTTCATTAACAAATTAGTAGATAGTGAAACAAAGACTTAAGTTGGAACTTCATCCTTTAATCCTTTAGTGATGTGATTTCTTTATTGTAAGGAACAAATGTTTTTGTTTTTGTTTTTAGTTGGAGTTTCACTTTGTTGTCCAGGCTGGAGTGCAGTGGCATGATCATGGCTCATTATAGCCTCCACCTTCTAGGCTCAGGTGATCTTTCCACCTCAGCCTCCTGAGTAGTTGGGACTATAGTCATGCATCACAACAGTAGCCATCACACACCTGTCTCTGATATGAAGCCTCAATCACTCATATCAACATCTAGTGTACAGGAAATATAGGGGAAGGGTGATTGGTTACAGTGTTGGAAATTCAATAAGCCAAATCTAGAATATGGCAAATTCTAATGAACAAATGTACCAGCAACTTCAAGAAATAAAAACTTTACTGAATGAGACCATAGGGAATTATAACTAATGGTGTTTCCACCTGCACTAATGTTACCGTCTGAGTAAATGCTCAACTGCTATTTTTCAATGCCAGTAAATCGAGAGGCAGGGAACTGGCAGAAAGAAGTTGGTTTTTTTTGAGTCTGAGTCTCTTTCGTCCAGGCTAGAGTGCAGTGGCATGCGCACGATCACCTCAGCCAAACACCTGTAGATGTATCAAACGTCTATACATGCATCAGGTCTCTTCAAGAGAAGGGCAAAAGCAAGAGACTCCTACACACTGGGCAGCTGAGGAAAAAACTACATCAAGATAGGTAGGAAAAGCTGAGGCACAATCAGGCACAAACCCATCCCTGGGCACCGTGCCTTACAGTCAGAAAGGAATCCCCAATATTCACCTTGTCCCTGAGAAGAAATGGACTGCACTTATTGTGCCTGGACTTTTAGTTCTCAGAGTATTTGGCTCTTAATCCACCTACCACGTTGCCTAGGCTGGTCTTGAACTCCTGGGCTCAAGCAATCCTCCCACTTTGGCCTTCCACAGTACTGGAATTACTGGTGTGAGCCACCGCATTCAGCCAGGAACAATTGTTTTTGAATACTAGAAGTGTAGTTTCTAAACTTTTTTGCCACTTTTTAATTCTAGATAATCAACAATACAACAAATCAAGCCATGTTTTGTATTTTTTTTTTTTTTTTGGCCACTTTCACAGTACAAATGCTCCCACCATGCCAATTTCAAGCTGCATGCCTGTAGTTCCAGCTACTTGGAAGGCTGAGGTGGAAGGATCACTGAGCCCAGCAGGTAGAGGCTGCGGTGGCTATGAGCATGCCAACTTCACTACAGCCTGGGTAACAGAGGGAGACGCCAACTTAAATAAAAAAAAATTGAGATATTGATAGAACTTAAACTGCTTATATTTAAAATATATATTTTGATGTTTTGATACATGCTTATATCCTGAAACAATATATAAAATTCTCAGCATATTAATAAAATTACCAATACAGTGACATTCTGTCTTGTGTTATGGCTATTTTCAATATATACAAAAATGGAAAAGACTGTTATGGAGCCAGATGAACCCTTTCCCAGTCTTCTGTCACTCTTTATCATTTCATGACCATTGTATTTCATCTGTCCTCATGTGCACTAGTGGGTTGTTATAATCCCAGATATTGTATCATTTAATGTATAACCTCTTCAGAATGCATTTTAAAATGTAAGAATTCTTTTATAACCCTCAAAACTATCACAAAAATGTTTTAAAATATGATAAATGTTACCAGTTTTTTCAGTTATCTAAAAAATGTGTATTTTTGTTTTTTTCAGTTTGGAGTCTCACTCTGTCGCCCAGGCTGGAGTGCAGTGATATGCTCACAGCCACCGCGCCCTCAACCTGCGGGGCTCAGGTGATCCTTCCACTTCAGCCTTCCAAGTAGCTGGAACTACAGGTGCATGCCACCACGCCCAGCTAATTTTTTGGTTTGCTGTAGAGATGAGGTCTTACCAAGTTGCCCAGGCTGTTCTTGAGCCCCTGGGCTCAGGCAATCCTTTTGCCTTGGCCTCCCAAAGTGCTGGGATTACAAGCTTGAGCCACTGCACCCGACTGTGTGTGTTTCTTTTTTTTGAGTTGGAGTCTCACTCTGTCGGCCAGACTGG